GCTTGGCTTGGCTTGGCTTGGCTTGAGCGTGGGTGGGGGTTTTGGGGGCAGGCGGCGGCTCGCCCCCTCCCCTCAAGCACACCTGTTAATGAAGGACGTGCATGCACTATACAGATAGAATTCTACCATTCATAAACTTTTGTATATAGAAGAACACGAGAGACATAAGTGTTCTAACAAGGAAATACCAATGCAATCACGCTTGCTTTCCGTGAGCCAAAGGTTCGGTTGTACTTTGTTAAATCCTAACCTGACACCTATTACGCCTCTAGCAAACATGCCCGGGGTGCGTGTTCTCTTAGCTCCCCCCTTTAGGACATGTCCAAGCACTCACCTAAGCCTGTACAGACGGCCATATGTACAGCTGTCCACGGCTACTGGAGTTTAAAGCCTAGCTCGCGCAACAAGTGATGGTCATCAGGACTCATGCTGGTTGCATCTTTGCTGCTAAATAAAGCGGCAGTGAACCTAGGATTGCCTGTATCAATGGACGCAGTTCCTTCCTTCCTTCTTTCCACTGCACTTCACTCCGGGGTCCGCGTAGCGGGTCAGGCTCCCTGCGCGAAACGTGCGCCCCTGCTGTGGGGCTTTGTATGGGAGTGAAGCAACCACCCCTAAAAAGACATTGTTCCCCGGTGTACGGCAGCAAAGAAGAAAAGTATAGTCGCAGGTTCCTTCCTTCCTCTCTTCCTCTCTCCTGCCTTGCTTACTTCCTATCTTCCTGCTAGTCTAGTTCTTGTGATCCGAATTTTCGTCCTAGTTGATCCTATCTACTTTAATTAGTTTTTATCGTTTAATATAAATATGTTGATGATCCCTATCCCGGCAGTTTATGACAATTAGTTTGCAAAGCCAGGGCCCTCTAACTGCCTTGCACGCGACATGCAGCCATGCTTAGCACTTCAACTTGACAAGAGACTGTTCGTTTCTTGGTGTGCACGCTCGCGAACACTTACAAACAAGTGTCTCCCCTTCTCTGCAGATGCCAATAGAGCAATGCAGGCCAAAAATGCTGAAGGCAACGAGTCCACAACAATCACGGTGTGCGAATGTGAACTTGGCGACTGATTGACTGTCGTCGATCATCCTTTTCTTGCCAGCCGGACCTGCTGCAAAATACATGGCCTTGAAGACTTGAAGGTCCTGTTCTTTCTGCGGGGCTTGAGGTCCGCTCTCGCGGCCCTTGCCCCCTGGCCCTGTCCATTCAGGTGTCGCTTGGAGTGTCGATGGTGACTGCGCACACGGTTTAACCCCTTTACTAGGGTGGACTAACTAATCGAGTGTGACAATTCTGCAGCTCGCCCTCGCTCCTTTGTTTCGGCACCATCTTTTTCTTTCGCCAGGGCTAGGGACAAGAGGGGCAAGCCCTCTCTCTCTCTTTCTCTTTCTGCCTCTGTCAGGACCGTAGTGTGTGTACCACTGCCACAACGTCCGGATTGATAGAAACATACTAGATGCCCAGCACAACCGCGGAGCCTTCAGAGTGGTCTGTCTGCTGATCCACTGCGTCCAAGCCCTGCGTGCCAGGTGGTTCGGCAAAGCCGAGCAACCGGATCACTCTGGACTCTTTTGAGGCCGTGCCTTCAAGCTGCCATTGCTGCTATCCCGCAGAGCTGCGACAGGCATCCCAATCCAGCCAAAAAGGCCACGCCAGTGCTAAGAGCCATGGCATTGGCCACGGAGCCATGGCCCGGCGCCACAGCTTTTCGACCCACGAAAGAAACTTTTCACAGCTCTCAGGCACTTGTGGGCTGGGTCGTGTGGGAAGACCGTCAAGAAAGTAACCCCAGTCCTTGCTGCAATCTTACAGAAGCCTTGCCTTCAAGGAGTATATACATCCTCTGCCCCCGCGGCTTTTATGGAAGGAAGAGTTAAGCAGACAACCTCGAGTTTGATCCCAGGGCCGCAGATGGCCTGATGTCAGCCACAGGGGAGCTTCTCTCCAGGCTATCAGCTATCAAGAAGCAGAGCACTTGGAGGGGCAAAAAGGTACACCGGCCAGGATGCCGACAGCACATAAGCAGGCTGCCTCCTCCTTTGGGCGCTTGGCTGCCGGTTCCTCGATAGCATGCTCGACTGGCTGCTTGTTCGGCACTTCTTTTCTGTCCAGCCTAACGCTCACTGCCGCAAAAGACCCCCAGCCTGCCCCGGCTGTAAAGAGAACAACTCTGAGCACTGTGTTATTTGCTCGTGGTCTTGCTTGACGCTTCGTGTACTGGCACCAAGATTGACTTGACAGATGCCTCATCTCTTACTGCGACGCTGCGCCGTTGCACTGTGCATCTGGATCAAATGCACAAGAAATCCCTGAGGTCATGCCCCTGGATCACATGCACCCGTGCTACAAAGCCTGGTCTATGGCAAAAGACCAATGAAAACCCAAAACATTGGCGGGCACCTCGAGGTGTTCCGGACGCACTGCAGCTGGCACCTCTTGACCACCAGCAACCCAAGTTAAAAGATAAAGATTGTAGATGGCAATGGAAGCCTTGCTGAGGCGGAATGTCCAAAACAAGACTGGAACCACAAGCCACCACAGCTACTCCGTGATACAAGCCCATGGACATTCTAAAAGATCCTGATCACGTTGAGTTTGGCATCGGCCGCGTGCACCTCGCCGAGAACAGCTGGACAGACCGGAGCGGGAACCTGCAGTAGTTCTGCGGGTTGCGCTGCTTTGGTTGCCATGGATCGACATCTTGATTTCAGTCTCCAGCCTCGTCCAGAACGTCTGGCCGCGTCAGGGCTGGCACCTCCATTACTAGGCCCGCTGAATCTCTGAATATCTCCCAACGGAAAGAAGTCGCTACAGCATGGGGCATTTCCAGGCGACTCTAGACTCTAGGAATGCAGTTTTCACAGATTCCTGTGATGCGATCTGTAGACCTCAACAAGTACCTTCGGGCGGCCCAAGCCTCGTCCAGAACGCCTGGCCGCACCAATTCTGGCACCTGATTCAGGGAAAATGACATCATTGAGGCTAGAACAGTCCGAAATGAGATGCATCCAGCATGCGACTGCTGCCCTTTTCACAGTGACAACTCAACTTGCGCTTGTCACGTTCCAACAGACCTCGTCCAGAACTTCTGGGTGCACAGGTGCTGGCACCTGAACACAGCTGAGAGTTGGAGACCACCAGGGTCTGCACACAACAGCAAGCTCAGCCACAACAACTTTGCTCAGAACATCTCTGGACTACCTCTGACATGCAATGCAGCGTTCTCCTCTAGCCTGTCCTCACGCGGCATGTGACAAGCTGTTGCCAGGTTAACTATCGAGTGAACCTGCTCACTCTGGACTCTAGTAGTACGACGAAGCAGTCGGTTTTGGCTGCTGGATCCCGGGGCGTGCTAGTTACAGAGCCCGCAGAGAGAACTCTCTCAACAGACCTCGTCCAGAACTTCCGGTCGAACCAGCGCAGGCACCTCCATCGAGGTGCGAGAATGCAGGACGACAGAAAGCTGACAAGCCACATGGGAACTTTCAACCAAGCTTTCTCACTCCGCAACTACGCGATAGTCCTGGTGAACTTTCAGAAGCGCTGATTCTTTCGCGGCTGAGTTTGCAACGCAATATACCATCACTCTGAGGGTTAGAGAAATACATTCTGCCGAACGTGTCTGCTAGTGGGATAGTTTGAGCGTTCCGCCAGAATCACTTGCTGCGAGGAAGGGGTCGTCAGGACTGTTGTGGCCACGACTGCTCACAGACCGGATTCACAGGATAACGAGCTTCCGCCGATGTAAGAAGCAATGGTACCGACGAAGACACCAGATAGATAGCTGGGCATCGCGTAAAACGACGATGTAAATCCCTGCACAGCTTCACGAGTAATTACAGGAAGCAAATGTGTGTGCGAAGCATCCAAGAGCCATTCGATTCACACCCACAGGGGTGTGTTGGGCGAAACATCCAGCACAAGGAGGGGACCGACGGTACGATGATACTAAAAAAAAAGAGAGTGGAATTTCGGCAAACATATGCCAAGCATCCCAATGGACTTCGCATGTGAGATGCAGGGGGTTCGTGCGATCCAACAGCAAGATACAGCAAGCAAGGAAGGTCACATGAACACGAGTCGTGGGCACAATGCTCAGTGTCCAATGCTGGGCAGATAAGAAAAAGTTCACAAGTCACATCCAAAACAGGGACACAAAGGGGAGAGAAGCGAGACGCTAAACACCCACCAGAAGTAGGGTTATGCACCTTATGCTTATGCAGGGCATCGGCAAGGAGTTAGCATTTCATGAGACCTGAGCGAATTTCGGACACAATGGTAGATGTGCAAAAACGTCCGGAAGAAAGACAGTTCAGATGAGCTCACGATTGCATGGAAATCAACGAGAAAGGACCCACAAACATCGGAATTAGCTCTGTGCTGCATCCAAACCAGTTCATTCAAATCCGGGTGGGACCACGATGGGCCATGCTGACCACCTGTACATTGCTTGCACCAATGCCATGCCGAAAACGCCAGTTAAGCGTGACTCACTTGCCACCCTTGGAAAAGGCCTCCTGTTTATCGTCCTCAACAACCCACCGATAATCAAGAGCTCTTTCGCTGAGCGTGTTAGCATGTTTCAGTATAGTACCACGACCGGCAATGAAGCGCATGCCGCGGTAGCCATGTCCATTGCACCAGGACGGCATCTTGGGCTGAGTTTTGCGATTCTGATTGTTGTTGCATGCCACCAACTGCATGCCAGTTTGTCCAAAGCTGCGTGCAACCTGAAAGGCCCAGGCCGGACAACTGCCGGCGGACACCTGCGAAAGCCTAGCTGGAAGCCCTGCTAACTCAACTTATCTGGCAAAAAAGTTTTCCGCAGAAAGCATTCGCCGGCTCCGTTGCTTTTGCACCTCGTCGATAGCAGCAGAAGTCGCAGCCTCCTGTCCAAAGAAGACAGATTTGGCCCTCGACACGCAGGCTGCATTTCATCTCATGCTGGAGTTTGTGGTTTCATGTTGAGCAGCTGACACAGAAAAGACGACATGCATTCATCCTTTAGTGATGGCTGCTCGGGACTAGGTCCCGAGCATGGACGCCTGTCGACATGTCCATGAAAGGTTGAGCGTCGAACTTCGGGCTGCGGTTCATACGATCATCAAGCTCAAAACCTTACGTTTGCCACGAGGCACCTGACATGACTCACACTTTGTGGGCCGGCTGCCGGCTTGCCTCCTTCTCGACCGTCTCCAAGTTGATCCGACGCCTCCCACGAAGGAGATAAACAAGAAAGGTCACACTGAGTCATGCTGGAGAAGTCAAGAGAAACTTCAGTTCAAAGCTGCAAATTCTGGCGAGGCAGCCCGACGGTTGGGCCATGATGTGCAACATATCCCGATACGCCAACTCCAGCTTCCCAACAAAACATGCCAAAAAAGTCATATGAGCAATAGTAGCTTGCCGCATGCTTCGACTGTACATGCATGTATGTTACCGGCCCAATCAAGCCCCGACGCGTTGAACACCCAAACCCTGAACGAAATCTTCCCGCTCAGAAGTCCGTCCGAGTTACACCGAGATTGGCCCTTTCAGCAACTTGCCCCACACACAGCTTTGCAAAGCGTACCTGGAAGAATCTTTGCCTGCAGTGGGCAATGCTCTTGCTCTTCATGACATCAGCTCGGCATGCATGGCCAGTCTAGAGGGGCCCCCAAGCCTCCTTTACCTTTGCTCTTCTTGTCTTCGCCTCTCAAAGCGGACCGCACAGTTTGGCAATCGGTCGAAAATGGCACCCGGCAGATGCCGACCTGATGAAGTGGGTGCATGACCACCACCACCACCACTGCCACCACCACCACCCTCCTATTTCTGATACTACTATTACTTCTACTACTACTGCTGCTGCTGCTCCTACTACTACTACTACTACTACTACTACTACTATTGCTACTACTCCTACTACTGCTACTACTGCTACACTGCTACAACTGCGACTACTGCTACTACTTCTACGCCTACTTCTACAACTTCTCATCAGCTCTTGATTAGTCTGATTGTCACCGTCTGCAGAAGTGTTTGCTGCATGAAGCCTTTGCTTTTTCCTTTGTCTTGCGACTTCTCCTTGCCTTTGTTCAACCTCAGCCAAGCAATCACAAATTCTCGAGAGCGGAGCTTGCCAAAGTGACTGATGAGCAATGGAGTCCAAAAATGTTTTGCAGCAGCGAGCGAACTGCAGTTCACAAGTAGGGAGCGGTCCCTTTGCTCGCTCCTTTCTCAATTTCGTCCTGCATGACTGACAAGGGAAGCCATGGGCAAGCGCCCAATGCCATCCACTCGTACTGCATGCGGCGACAACTGACGCACCTTGCTCTTCTTCTTCTGGCTAATAGCCTTCAGAGTCTGATCATGCTTTGTGGGGGTCACAATATTCCTTCCAAGCTGCTACAAGTACCTGATCCTGCGAAAGTCTGCACCGTTAGCAATGCACAACAAACCGTCCGAATCTTCACGGAGGGCTACTGTAGATTCTTCATGTCCTAACCAGGGTTAGAGTTGTGGAGCTGGACCTAGACCCAGGCTTTGCAAACTCCCCGTGGCCAAGCAACACGAAGCATCAATGAAAATTCAGTTCACGGACAACGTGCAGACAAGGCTGGACAGCGCACGCGCGTGCTCTTCGATACGACGATCTCCCGCCCACCGAGGAGACTGTCTGAAAACCTTGCTGGCCGGTTGGGCAATTCTGTTTGACAGCCTGACCGGGCACTTCAAGCATTTTCAGCTGGCAGGAAGAGGATTGGTTGCACAGCCACATTAGTACCAGTCTTAGTCTGAGTACAAGTTACAGGTCGGGAAGCCGCAAATCCGACTCCCGGATAGTCAGGAATGGGCCCTGCCCGGCCAGTGCTGACAGGAGCAATCCCCTCTTGATCTCTCTTGATCTGAGAAGCCGATCAATCCAAGCCTCCTGAGTCGCTGGCATGAGGGCTGTTTGCGCATCAGATTCCTGACTTGCAGCGCACCGAGCACGCCCGCGAAATCCCTCGTGCTGTAATTCCCAGCTAGAGGGTGGCATGTCCTCTTGGAATTCGACGAAGCCAAAGCCTCGAGATCGGCCCATATCGTTGCGGACAACGACAACCTGCCCAAACGCACCCGAACGTAATTTGCACCGCATGAAAACGGCTCGAACAATGCAAGCAACGTCTGTGGCAGCAACTTGCGCTGATCCTTTTTCTGACTGCAGGCTACGGCACAGCTTTCTCAGGATCTCGTCCTCCTGAAGTATTGTGATGCTGAAACTGGATGTGTCACCCGATTCAAGCTGTCCAACATGTGCCCCCGCATCTAGGCAACGATGTCAACCGCTGGAATGTCCAAGCCTACAGCAGTGTTTGGGCACGGATGACTGCCAGGAATCAACGCTATGGTCGGGTCAGAATGCCCGGTGAGACCGGATTGGCTCTCGCGGACGGCGTCGCCTCGAAGTTGCCTCCTGCGCCTCGCTGACGGCAGCGGCAGTTCGCAGTCGCGCCGCCAATCTGCCCAAGGCGGGGGACCCAGAAATCTCCTGATTCCCACGGTGCACGCACGTCCTGTGGCTCTTGCTCCGCCCGTCTTGGGAAGCCAAAAAGAGAACACTGTATCTCGATCGGAATTCCCTGTATATTTGTTGACACTCACATTGCAGTACTCTACCGGCCAAACCCCTGGTATGTGTGTTTGCGTATCTCAACACGAGAGATGATTGCCGACGCTGGGAATCTCACCTGTAAAGTGAAACTACAAGCAGGGTCCACTCCTGCAAGGTTGTGAACCGTGCAGCAAGTGCACTGTCAGCATCGCCCGGGATTCGTCCAACAATATCGCTAAAGCTCGGTAAGAGGCAGTCGAGAATGTGCAGGACGAATCCGGGGGTGTGCTTCGACGAAAAATCATATGTTACCCATCGTCCGCGCCTCTCGGATTGACGGCACCAGCCCCACGCAAGGGCTGGACGACCAAAGGAAACCACGAGACTGCTCTGTCCAGGCTAAGCGTTGTTTGGATTAGGCTTCGTCTCTGTCTGCCGGGCCTGGTGCTGTCATGAAGTCACTGCATGGGGTTCTCCTGGGGAGGTCCTTCCGAAGTGTCCATCATCTCCAGGCCCCTGCCAAACGACATGTCTGCACCAGCCCAAGACTTCGGCGGCACGAACTGAAACTCACTGGTGGACAGCTTAGGTTTCCAGGAGTTCGTTTCCAAATCGGCTAATGCTTCACTCGGACCATCCAACAGCACTACACATCACAGGCGCCAAACACATCTACGAAGCTGGGCTGATCCAGCTGACTGTGACCATTAGCTTAGCATCCGTACCTTGACCCATGAAGACGGGCCCTACACACAAGGACTGGGCTGGCCTCTTCTGGCCGTGCGGTTGGGCTTGGAATGCCTCAGGCTAATGCTTCGGCGTGCAATCTCTGCTCACAGACTAAACCCGCCCAAAACGATGAAGTGCGACCCTCAATGATGAATTCCGCTCGCCTGGAGCATGCCGCTGTTGACCTGGAGCTGAACCTCAAGGACAGTGCTCGATCTTGGTTTTGTCAATGAACACTGGCTCATACACCCGGGGCACAAAGCACACCAGAGTCGATAGCTTCCTGCATCTCACTTCCGTAGTTACTGTGCGAACACTTGTCTCGAGCTGCAGCTAGACCTCTTCACCCGTGAGACGTCCCAGATGATCACTCCGTGTAGCGATGGCTGAAACAATGCACACCTTACTTCAATTTACAAGAGGTCTGAGGTCTCCGAGCACCCGGCTCTGTGAAGCATCTCATACTCCCTTGGCTGTGGCCGGAAGTCCAAAAACGTGTAAAGGCTACCAAGCAATTCAAATGAGTCCGGTATTGTCACGACGGATCTGGAAATCTCTGAAGCGATTCAGTCCATCTTGCCCAGCCGCCGGATTTGGTTCCGGAAACCCTCGTTGATGGAGATGCAGTGGCGCCGAGTGAGCACATACGTGTGCGCCTGTTTGACTTGAACCCCCCGAGCACTTGCATTGTAGACAGAAGTGGCCTTCACAGACATCTTGACGGCTACGTAACTGCAGCCATTGGCCCAGCCTGATCGGAAGGAAGGTTGAACTTCTCCATCACATACCTTTGATTCACGCACCGTCCGGCCAGCCAGCTGCGTCTGCATCGGCTTGCTACCCTCTCTCATCGAAACGAATGGAGAGGTGCATGCCCTGATTGCTGGCAAGATGCGCGACCACTAGTGCAGCAGAACGGGACATGCCTCCCATTGTTCTCTCACGAGAAGTTTTAAAGATGTGCAGGTGGCTAGGCCGGAAGTGCCACGGAGAGACGTGCTTCACAAGAGCCTGCATTTCCATGAACAAGAATTCGACCACCTCTGGCCAAGACCGCATCCTCAGCCACAACAAGCACAGCTTCAAGATTCACAGGCGAGCAAATGCAGAGGAGAAGACCTGAGTGTCACAGCACATACAGTGCTCGTCATGCCAGGATGACAGTTAAGCCCGGAGTCTAGAAGCAGCTTGACATCTGCAAAGAATCGAATGATGTTCTCGAAAGGGCTGTCACCTTGCACAAGGGAATCGGATTTTAAGTCCCGGCCGGCCGATCCAAACTCAGCCGAAACAGGGCTCACCCTTTGAAGCCGGCTTCCACTTGCACGACTCTCTTGTGCAGCTGAGACACGGCACTCCAGCACCTGCAGACTACAAAGCTGCTAGCCCATGGTAGACTGGCATGGATGGCCCCCGCTGCATGTACGGGTTGTCAGAATCTCCTGGTGTGTGGCTGAATAGTCTGGCCCCACTCAGTCTTCGCTATCCTGACTTCTACCTCGACGCTTACACCCAAGTCTACCACATGCGGAGACTTCAACTTTGCACTTTTGGTGAAGGCCAGGAGGAAAGGCCTTAGGCTTGTAGCTGCATTGGGGTCCCAGCTGTCCAAACAAGCAAGAACGAAGCACCTCGTAGTGGATGAATTCCGGATACTTCGGACATATGATTCCTGAAATTCACATCCAACTCATGGACACCAACGGCAAACACAGGAAAGTGAGTGCGACACGAAAGGAAGTCTCTTAGTCTTCACCAGCTCTATACACTGTGTGTTGTGCAGGTCCCAGTTTGGGACAGACCTCCCAAATCTGCAACCATGCGTCTGGCTTCCTCCGGTGCTCGGACGACCAGGGCATCCGTTATGTTTACTCGCTTCAAGAACTCCTGCGGCCATTGCTGACGCTCTTCTCTCTTGTCCCTGACAGCGTTTCGAGTTGCCAAAAGCTCCTGGTCTCGAGCAGAACCAAAGGGCCCCAGCCAGAGTCCAGGAATGATCTCCTGCGCCTCCCGCCTCAGGGGGCTAGGGATAAGTTCGTGGTTCGTGGTTTTTCGCGACGAAATGGTTATCCATATGATCGCTCCACGCAAAAGACTCAACATGCTCTTCAGCCAAATAGCTTCTTGGCATACACCCAGTCGGTGTCTGGCGGTAGCAATCCCTGCACACCGGAAAGTGCAGTCGAATACATGCTGCACCTGCCAGGGTTGTGAGCAGAACGGGGGAGGTCTTCCCATCTCCGTGTCCGTTCTTCTGCATCTACTTTGCGTGCAGCCGCGCCTGAGAGGTGCATGCCGCTGCTAGGCCATGCGCGGCGAGACAGGGGCACGTGGCCGAGACCCCGCTTAACAGCTGCGGAAAGTGGTTTCAGTGGACAGAGCCGACATCATCCTGCCAGACGGTTGAAGCAGTGCCCATCAGAACCAGCATGAGCCGACTCACACCACACCACACCCAACTCTACAGCATGTTCCAAACAAAGCCTCTAACTTGCGACCACTCTCGTCCCCAATGTGTTTTGAAACGCTCCTTCTCTGCTGCCAACCTGCAAGACTTGCCCACATTGTTGGAAGTGTTCTGTCAGCTGCGTCTCATCCACCTTGTGCACCAACATGACTCGAGCCCCGAAACATTTGCGGAGTTTCGTGTCCTTCGGACCTAAAAGGATTTGAGGGGAGCGTACTAGTGGATATTGCCTGGTGTTGGACCTTCGGTGCCTCTCGCTGCTATTTGCTTCTTCTTCTATCGTAATCCCCGTTCTCTTTCTTCGTCTCCCGAGCTCAAATCCCTGAAGCGTGACTCCTCTCTCTGGCGGCCTCTCTCCGAGGACCTGCTCGGTCACTTTCTGTTGTCAGTCATGAGCAGAAACTACAGCTCTACGTACTCTTCCACCTTTGTCGCTAACAGCTAACATCTGAGGCGAATGCGCTGAAGGCCAGGTTGTTTACGTGCACCGTTGTAGGGCCTCGGGCAGGAGCATAGAAGTTGCCTTCCGCTGCTACAAGCCATCTTGCGTCTGAATGCTCTTCTGTGGTCGTAATGCGACCGCACATGGAAAGGCAACCAACGTGAAAGCCTGCCGTGCAAGTAGGTGTCGCACATTTCGAAGACTGCTTCACCGGATCCTCTCTTTCAATTCGGCCTGTTCGATGTGGAGGAGACGGGCCAAACAACACGGCGTTGTGCATAATCAGACCAGCCTTGAACAATATTTCTCTGGTTCACCCGCTGAGGAAGGTCCTTTCTTGTCGCCGCTGTGGTATGACGGTGGTCCTTCAAACTGCTTGCTTTGTCTTCTGGTTGAGGCTGCCTGTACCCTCTGCAACGCCAGTCCTTCATTGGTATAGACCGGGAGAGCACCACCGCCTTGGCATTGGCGCCACAATGCGATCTCAACCAACTATACTATACACCTTGTGCCTTGCGTCCCTTCTTGGAAACTGCTGAAGCAAGTGTAAGTAAGTGTAAATGTGTAAATGTGTGTGTGTGTGTCTAGGTGTAGGTAGGCAGGTCGGTGGGTGGGTGGGTGAGTGGCTAAGTAGCTTGAGGGGCCAACCTGGCCCCCTATTTCAATCGGCTTCTCGCAAGCCAGGGCCGCCTCCAGAAAGGCACATGCCAAACACGCAAACGCCACGCAAACACTGCCGGAGAGCTGCCTTCACTGAGTCATCGGATGCAAACTCCACATATGCGTAGCCTGCACAAGCGGCCACGATTTTGACTGCAAGAGGCTGCAAGAGCCGCATCACATCTTACGTTGACACCGGCAGGTTCCAGGTCCCTGTGGCAAATTCTGCGAGGGAAGCCTTACTCCTAGCAACTTTGCAAAGCTCGAGCGCAGCTGAGCGAATGGTCCAACAGCCAAGCCGGGGCCCACCTTTGTGAGCGTTGCCCTCCTTCGAAACAATTGGTTGTTGTTCAAAATAACACATA